GAAGGATTAGAGAATCCTAAAGAAATTCTGAGCAGGACCTTCCACTGTTAAGTAAAGGGATCAGCTGATCTCCCATTGGTTAATGCAAAAATAGGGCACAGAACACAATATGGAACACACTCACATACTTAGGAATTTTTAAATACCTAAATGGTTTAGTGACTAAAAGGTACTTATAAAAGTTTCATCTATCGTAATATCTAAAAAGCATAATTCTATAGAATCTATATTTTAATTGTTAAATGCTCAATTACTAATTAAACTTTTGCATTTCACTTAATCTAAACATAATATTACGTTAATGAGAGTTTAGTTTGTCACATGCAAATAAAAAGTAGGAGTATAAACTGAAAATGAAAGCACAGAAAGCAAAATTTAACAGAAAATTTCTTAACCAGAAATAAATAACACAATATAGAACAAAAAACAACAAAAAGACATTGATATGGAACCATTCAGACTTAATAAAGACAAAAAAACCTGATACTCTTCAAATGATCCTGATAAGAGAATAAAAGCCAGGCACATGCCAGTGATTCCAGTTATTGGGCAGCCTTAGGCAGGAGGATTAACATTGGAAATGTTAATTTCTCTGTTACTTCTTTCAATCTGGCAGCAATCTTATGAAACCCAATAGTGACGTTCACATCTATAAGCTACATAAATAGTAAATAATATTCAAAAATGTGTTGTACTGTATGATTGTAGGATAGTGTTCATAATAATATAAGTAAGGATACTTTAAATCAGCCTGTCCAAAAGAAATCTCTTCACTGATGGAAATCTTTCATATTTGTGCTGTCCAATATAGTAACCCCTAGCCCAGATGGCTATTGAGCACTTGAAGATAGCTAGAATGAATGAAGAAGGAAATTTTAATTTTATTTAAATTTAATTTATTTAAATATAAATAGCCACATATGGCTAGTGTTTACCATAATGGGCAGGACAGCATTAGACCAATCCAATGTCAGTGTGTGCTGTAACAGGTCAAGTTTTAAACAGCAAGAACCTTTATTTTTGTAATTATCACAAAAGAGCAGTCAACCTTCTAGACTCAAACCCAACAGGTTACTCTTAGCAGAAGTTTAGGATCACAATGGAAGACTGGGCTTGATGGTGACAGACTTGGAGGTGTCCCTTCCCTATGCTCTATCTCAAGTTGTAAAACATGCAGTTAAATAATATAATAAAATTCATTCTCAACCACAGCACAGTTCATCTGTATTCTCTCTTCTCACACTCCTAATGCCTGACTTTGGTCTTTGAACCATGGACTAACTATATCTGGAAAATGGCCATTTCTCATAGAGGAGGACAGAAAATTTCTCTGAGCAAGCCAATATTTTGCCATAGCCCATCAGATCTCTCCTCATAATAAGAATCTCATGTAATTTCTATAATTTCTCCCCGTGCTCTACCCTAGTTTCCAGGAACCAAGGAATTTGTGATTGTCTGATCTCCTGAGCATCAGGCTCTCCTCACTCTGGCCTGCCTTTTTGCTTGCACTTGTCATGGCTTCACCCAGATTGTTCGCCTAACCTTACGTTCTCTAACTGTCCTAGTCCTTGCTGCCAGACCAACATCTTTGGTTTGCTATTACCCAACATGGCATGTAGACATCGACCCTTTTCTATGGTGAGGCTATATGAGCAGAAGTTATGCCACCAAAAGAATAGAATTTAGGTTGCTAGACTGTGTCACACACTGGAAAGAATTGGATCCTGAGACGGATTTCAGTTTCAATCTCACTTATACTAACTGTTTAAATATGGATTATTTACTAACTTTTAACATGTCTCCTAATGTAAAGTGCAACTAATTATTCTCTCAAGATTATGCCAGTCAACAAAACAGCATTTTAAAAGTTGTATACAATAGTGACTTTATATAAGATGTTATATGAAATAAATTTGAAATGGAAAAGAGAAGAGATGGAGAGATCAGTTAGTAAATACTAAAATAGGGGCAATAAACCAGAGATGAGGTCATGAAGGCCTCTGGGAAGATGGCAGCCATAGAAGAACAAGGTCAATACACAAGTTGAAGGAAGTAGAGGCCTTAGTGATAGATTAGATAAAGGGATAAAGGAGAGGAAGGAATCAAAGATAAATCCAAGGTAATGGGAAAAATGAAGTTAAGAAGCCTAAGATAGATCAAAATCAGGAAGCTGATGTTGAAGGGCAGGTTAGCAGCAAAAAAAAAGATTAAAAAAAATTTTTAGACTTTCGATTCCATTAAAGTGAAGGGTCATTTATTAACTTGTAGAAATCACAAAGTTAGTTCATGGCATAATTGAAGCTAAGGCTCTGATATCTTTATTTCCACAAAAAGCAATCATTTTTATTTTAGTCTGAAATGAAAATATAAGACATTCAAATAGTTTTTAAGAGCACTGATTTACAGGACAAGGATGGAATTATAGTTTTGGGAAACAATGGAACACAGTAATAGTTGAAACTACTAGGTTACATGAGCTCACTGAATGATGAAATATAAAGGGAAAAGGGAAAAGTGGTCAATAGTTTAACATGCTAAAGAGATGTCAGAGAACCAGGGTGCATTCGGAGTTTTAGTCCCACATCTGACCTGTTCCATTCAGGAATGATAGCAATGAGGGTGATATTGACACTAATCCAGCTCTTGCCTTTTAACAGACTTCCCTAAATGATTTAATATAATGTTTATGATTCTAAACAGATATAGTTATCAATAGATGCCATTTTAAATAGACAAAGATTTGCAAGCTCAGAAAGTTCTGATCAAGATCACACATAAGTAATATTCAGGATTTAAGTGCAGATACTTAAGTTCCAAACAACTATAACCTTTTTGTCTAAGCTGGGATAATTTGAGAGTAAAAGAGTAACAGAAGTAAACTGGAAATCCTGGGCAAAACCAGGTCCTATGGTCACTGTGGTTATTAAACATTAAGTCTGCCTTGAATGACCCTAAATGATAAATTCAGGTCCATTAAAATTTTATCATATATCTTTTTCTCCTTCCTTCAGAATTTTACTTCCTACTGCCTTCTTTTCTTGAACTCTACCTTATGTCTTTAGATTCTTCCTTTCACAAATGTGCCCCTCAAATATGCTCAAGTACATCTCCACAGCCAGCACCTTTGTCTCTGTCCCTTTTTCATTCTCATACTTTCAATGAACTCTTTTCTCCTTTAGTTTTCACATCATGCTATCAGTTCATCTTTTAAAAAATAAAGAACTGATTACCTGACTATCAGTGGTTCTCTTTTAGTTTTACAATAATATTAACAACTTCTTAGCCCCTTCTCCCAGTGTCTGCTATACTGCAGAATAAGCAGCTCATTCATGATACCCGAGGTCAGCCACCTTCCCCTGTCTATCAGGGCAGGGACCATGGGTAGAATAGCACTCAGTATGCAATAAGGACTCAAAGGCTGTTGATTATGGAAATGTTCAACAATTCAAAGGCTTCCTACATTGTAATTCTATTCACACAGCAATAACAACAGCATCCCAGGTAAATAATAGTTGCATATGTATTTTCCACATTTATTGTTTTAATATGTTGCAGATTTATTTATGGACAACAAAGAATACTTTTTTAAAAGAGTAACAATGTCATAATATTTGTCATTCCCAAACTGAAACATTCTATCTTATACTACGTCTTAAAGTGATAAGAATATCTTATCATCTAACGATATATCTAAACTTGGCTGTGGGTGAAATATAGGAGTTTCTCTCAAATTAAGAAATTCCACAAAAAATATACTGTTGGGCATTGTTTCTTATTTATTTATTTATTTATTTATTTATTTATTTATCTTTGTGGTTTATTTGGAGATCATATTTTTACATGAATAAATATATCTGGAGGTTTTGAGTAAAGAAATTTTTTAAAAGTGTTTCTTCTTTTGTTTATGTTGTCACTGTTTAACTCACACTGAAAGATACAGAGATGGCCCCTAGAAATGCTCTACCTTGGCCTCTTCCACTAGAGCCCAATATTTATGGTGAGAATGGTAAATGTGTTCTGCCTGCTTAAATAACAGTTTTATATTATTCTGTCCTGAGTAATAAAGGCATATGGTAATTAGAAAACATTAGAAAATCATGATAAAATTTGGCCTGTTGTAAGGCAATGGGTTAAAAAATTTAGACCTTTGTATTAGTTCTTAAAATAATTAAGGATATTCACTTAGACGTTTCTTTTTTGTTGTTGTTGTTTATTTTTTTTTCTTTTTTAAACCCCAAATATGGCATGACCCTAAACATAATAGTAATCAGACAAACCTATATCATTATCAATATTCTTAAAACTTTGCAGGGCTGTGTAACGCCAAACATAAATTTTAGCAATAGAAGTTGTCATTACAACTATCAATGTTAAGAAATGATAAGGAGAGGGAAATATTACCTACCTGATTTGATAATTACACATCATACATATGTATGTATTAAGTTCATACTATATCCCCAAATATGAAAATCATTGTTAATTTAAAAGAAAATATACAATTATGTATCAATTACAAATAAGAAATATGTTCTAGAAAAGAAGTTAGCATTACAGTCTCACCCCTTTCTATTGAGCTAAGAGGCAATAGATGGCTTAGTCATTAAACCACAGACTGTGGGAGTCAGATTACCAGCTTGAATCCTGGCTTTGTAGCTAAGAAGTTATGAGACCTTGACCAAATTAGTCAACTCCTCTCAACTGCAGTTTGCTGATCTTTAAAAAAAAAAAACATAAAATAATACTACATCTTACATGTCATTGTGAATTTTCAAAGTATCTATAAAAGCATAGATAGTGGAAACTACATAGCTCACACTCAGTAAATACCAGCTGTTACTATACATAACAAAAATTTCTGGAGATTTGTCTAGGTTGATGTGAATTAGTTTCAAATGTATTTTATAATGTTGTACTTAATCAACTCTACCAAAACACAACTGAATGGTCAATAAGGAACTTCTTATCAATCTCAAATCAATGACAAAATAATCACTAACCATTGAGCCAGTAGTGCTCTGAAATGTCAGTTCTGATGTAATGGTGGTCATGAGTGGGCCCCAGGGACCTTGTGAATGCAGTATCTTTGCCAAGGAAATCAGATGCTGTTCCAGAATAGAGGTACTCATCTGGGAGAAAGAAAAGCACATGTAGGACTTTTCAGATACTGACCAGATACTATTGAAAACATACAAATTTCACAGCATGACACCAAAGACCATGATTGCTTCACATCAGAATATATTGTTTCACAAATTTCACTTTCAGATTTTGAAAAATAAGCTTAGTTGAAGACCCAAGTCAATTACCTTTCATCATTTAATGCTAGATACTCTAAAAAGGCTAAATTCTTCCACATTAATAATTGCACATGCATTGGCTTCTCTTTGAACCAACTCTTTATTCCTTCTCCCCACAAATATTTCAGTAAAACATTATAGTTAGGAATTCTTCTTTGCAACAACACACAGAAAATATTAAAAATTAAATGCAATAATGAGGAATGGATTGTGTAATTAGTATTTACTTAACCGAACAACCTCAAGGACCACAACTTTTCTTTGCCTAACCTCTGCTGAAAGGGAGCTTTCAGCACTGAAGTCATTCTTTGTAATTATAACATGCTACATTCCTTGTAGCTAATCATGTCTCTAATAGTTCTGATAAACAGGAGTTCTTGAAAAGAGAAAGATGTTGCATTACAGCATACCAAATTTCTTTGTCCTATTATTTACATAAAGTGAATGTCCATGTTTTATCAGGCACAGAAGAGAGAAAGGGTAAGGAAAAGAGAGAGGGGAAAGGGGATGGGGGAGAACAGAGAGGAGGAGAAGGGAAAGAATGTCAGGAAGGAGGAGGAAGAAAGGAAGTAAGTGCAGAGGAGGGTACAGGAAGGTGAGGGGGCTGAGAAAAAGAACGAAAGGGAGCAAGGAAAGAGAATCAGGGATTGAAAAGGAGAGATGAGGATGGGGGAGTGGAGAGGGGGTGCTGGATCAGTGACAGGGCCCCCCTACTGCTAGTGGCAGGGCTGGGAAGGGGCGGAGTGGGTGGCAGGAAAAAGTGTTGCCCCTTTGAGAGCCAAGCCTTTGCCATTTCAAGAGCCTTTTACAGTCAACAACTGTGGGTTATATATTAAAAAAAAAAAAAAAAAAGTAAAACTGGTCTACAGAGCATTTAAATTTTTAAATGCCTATGTATGAAAATAAAAATATTAGTTTATCATTGAAATTCAACTTTCCTCAGAACTGTAATCTAAATTTATCTAAATAAGCCCTTGGGAAAATCATGCTTAAATAATGACAGTAGGCAGCTTATAAAGGAAACCAAACAATACACAAGTGAGAGAAATTCAGCTGTGTAAATTTGTTAAAGACACAGTAGTACTTCATCCTCTTAAGGTACTTCCTAAAGTATGTTAGGTTAAATGGAAATATTTTCTTGCAGAGCAAATTTTTTAAAATCAGAAAAACATAACATAGTGAAACCAATGATCTTGCTTTGAAGTGAAACTGTGCATGTTTCTGTGTGTTTTGAAAATTATGTGGCTAACATTTACTCATCCTCAGAAAGTGAAATAGATAATTTGGGATTCTCATCTGTCAAGTGGGATTAATACCCTTTATAAAATACAATGGACAGTGGGCACTGGTGACTCCTTTTATGATTCTGTGTATGACTTTAGATGCAATGAAGACAGTTTTTAAAACTAGATATGCAGAATCAAATTTTAATTTGAAACCTACCATGTTTTCTGTCAAATATCTACAATTATATATTTCAAAGTAATGGTTTGCTTCCCTTCCTCTTATCAAACTTTTCACAATGTCTTTGTTGAGATCCCAAATCATTTATTTCACTTTCTGAGGACGAGTAAATGTTAGCCACATAATTTTCGAAACACACAGAAACATGCGCACTTTCACTTCAAAGCAAGATCATTGGTTTCACTAATGAAAATTAAAATGTCACGGTGCTTCAGTCTGATGGTTTATTCAAACATTTGATAGACAAGTTACATAAAAAGAGACCAAAGTCATGAACCAAACCAAGACAAAAGGTATTCTGGTAATGGTTGAAATTCTAGGATCCTGCTGACATTCTATAGAGCATACTTCAGACCACACAGTACTGCCTGCCTCCTTTGAATAAGATAACCATCTCATATTTAAGATGTATACAAAGTGAGAGAAGACTAAATGTGCAGCAAAAAAAAAAAAAAAAAACCATTTCCATTAATAGAACATTTGGGGAAAAATATGTTGTAACATTATATATCTGTATTTGATAGCTTGATTCATTTGGTTTATTAATTTACACACATGCAGAATTCTTAAATTTAACATCCCTACTGAGCCAAATGGGGAAATAACTCAGTATAAAAAAAAGGCATATAAATATAATATTATAGAACAAGCATGTCATTTGCATTAAAAAATTCAACCAGAAGTTCATTTTAAAAGCAGCTGTGTAGGCATTAGGATTGCTGAAACCTCACTTTATTGGAATGTTCAATATAAAAAGATTTGGCACTAAAATACTGGAACCAAATAGCTGGTGGAAGACTAATCCAAAATTATCTTCAACTCAATAAGAAAATGTGGCTTTTCTACACATATATGTCTACGCATATCTTTTCAGAAAATCATTTTAGAGCAAGATCTACGTGTCATCAATCTTACCTGTCATTACTGATGCAAAAGGCTGCTGAGGATCAAAAGGACATTTCAGTCTGCCAGACTCCAAATTATGTGGGTCCAGTTTGAATATGACTTCCTGTTATGAGAAATATTAATGCAAGTGAGATTTTTTATGATATTACAACTAGTAAGTACATAGAAGATAAGAATTAAATTCTAACTCATTAATTCAATAAAAACTAATAGAGCATATATAGCATGTACTTAATGCTGATCCTTAACTCTTTAGCCAATATTACATTTGGCAAGACTCAATTCTCATGTTTGGTCTCCTTTTTCCCAAGGTGGTAATGAACTACTATCAATATCAAAATCACTAAGCAAACATATTTTTTAAGCTTACTAATAGGTTTATTATTATTAATTTAAACCAATCTCCTCTTTTAAGAAATAAATTTATTATAATATTTATGCTTTTATGTTAATGATTATGATTTATGTTACTAAGCATCTGCAACTATGTCAAATTACTTAAGCCGTGCATGTGTGAGTGTGTGTGTGTGTGTTAAATGACATAAAAATGTTCTGAGGCAGGCAGTTAATTTTCAGAGCTATTGATGCATGTGGGCAAAAAAAAAAAATACTGTTGTAGTATTTTCACTATTATAAAAACACTATACACATTAAAGCCACATAGTTATTTTGGCTGAAACATCTATTTTTGTAATAGTGGCCACAGACAGAATGACATTGGCAGACTTCTAATATTCAGGAAAAAAATAACATCGTAAGTTGATCTTTCCAAGAAAAATATGAATGTATAATGAATGTAGCCCCATGAGCCTGAATGTTTCATAACAATGACAACACTACATCCAGCAAAAAGGCAGATGACTCACTCTCTGCATTTGTTGGAGAAGTCCAGCATTTCAGACATTCTCTCTAGATGGATTATCTGCAAAGTTATACCATAGCTCACATGGAATAAGAGAGAACTGTTCAATGCTACAAGCACTGAAGCAAAAGGGATAGAGGACATTGTATTACTTATTGTATTATGTTGTCAGTTGAGATTTTTTTCCCCTTTTGAATGAGACCAATAGTAACTAAAAAATAGTAATAGCAATTTAAGTAACCTGATTAACAATTAATATTATGTAGTTTTAAATAAACCTACCTTAATGCTAGCCATAGTGGCACCTAACAGTTAACAGGTACTAACCAAGATCTAGGAAGTTTATGCAGATTGGCTCACTGAATCCTCACCATAAGTCTAACAGTGTAGCTACTTCAACAATTCCAGCTCTGCCAATTACTATAATATTGAAGATAGAAGGGGCACATTCTTTGTTCAGTGTCACACAGTAGTAGTAAAAGGCAAATCAGGAGCTTGAACTCATGGTTGTCTCCAAAGTTAATAATATAGTCTCAGAATTTTAAACTCATTTATATAAGGATGTGTTCATGTTAATTTATTGACTCACTGTGACCATGTAACATAAGTCCAAGTGTGTTTAGTTTGATCAGGTTAGTTAATGAAAAGTAATAGAGGAGCCTAGGTTAAAAAAGTATATATATATATATCCAATGAAAATGCATTTAGGGCATACTTCCAAACATAGCTGGGGACAGAGATGAGGGGGGCATGGGACTGTGATAGTGGCTCTTAAGTAAGTTTACTTATCATTAAAGGCACATTACTTTCCACAGGTTCACAAGGCCTGTTGACTCTAAAAGTCTATAATGAGATACTGTAAAGGGAAAAGTAAACTAAATCCTGTTCTACAAATTATAATAAAAAACTAAAAGATATCTGGAGACAGCAGGAAAGCAGGTTTCCTTGAGCCAGTCAAGGGCACCTAGAGGAAAATAAAGTAAAAGAATGGATGATTCAATGCACTTCCTGAGATAAACTTACATGGCACTCTAAGTTTTGAGATTTCAATTTTATGAGATTTGCCTCCTGAAATTCCTTAAACCTAATTATTTATGCAAAAATCACCTGTCTGACCTTCTTATACAGACATATTGTTAGAGAAGGAAAAAAGATAAGTAGATAAGAATGATAGTAAGAAAATATTCAATCATCACAACTAGGAAAGTTACTACCAATATTATCCCAACTTAAAGGTAAAATGTGCAGCAACAGAGTGTTGATCTCAGAGAAAAGAACTTGCTTCTAATCCAATTGTTAAGCAGCTATCACAACTCCCAGTATTGCAGGGTATTAATATTACTTCATATAAAGTATATATATATATATATATACACACACACACACACACACACACACACACACGCATATGTATTTTAAACTTATGCCTTTTTACCTTTCTGTCTTCCTGTTTCCTATTTTAATGAATATTAAAAGTGATTAGAATGGAGCAAGTGCTATTCCAAATTATTGTTATTCCAATCATTTCCTCATTTTGTACTCAAAACTCTGTGAAGCAGTTACTATCATAATCATTATCATTTTATTGAATAAACAATAAATTAGGAAATGTATGCAGTATGCATCAGGTCATGGAGTTGGTAAATGACTGAAGCCATATGTCAAGCTCTGATGGTCTGTGCCCAAGCTACTATTAGAAGTTGTTGACAGCAGTCTTGACTTCTCTGTTGAATCTGGATCCAACTGCCCTCTTGGCATGACCTACTGAACAGGTTTCAAATGCAAAATGTGCAATTACTAACTCACTATTCTATCCACAAACTTGGTAATACTCTGACCTCAATAAATAGGACCACGCTCCAACTGGCTGCTAATTCTCTAGGATTCATCATAGTTATTTCCTCTTCTCACTGCCCCAGCCACATTAAGTAGCAGTCTCCAGAGAGTTCCTTCCTCTAGCCCTACAGAGTATCACTGTTCCTTCTCCCCAGCAATCTTATCTTAAATGAAAAGGGCTTCTAAACTCTTTCTAGAAGTACAATAATTTCTTGAAATTAATGGTTCATTTAAAAAAGTTAACAATCTTGAAGGAATACTGCCCATACAATTACCTGTACTTCTGACCTGCTGAAAACTCTCAAGGCTTAATACTCCTGTTCACTCATAATTTTCTTATTCATAGAACTTGTAAATTTGACTGTCCCAGGGCTTCTTGACAGTCCCAAGCTAAGTAATTAGCTCCATCCAAATTCCCTTTCAGCATGTGTGACTTTTAAGGAGCTATGAAACACTATTTGCTTCCCTCAGCAGGTTGTGAGTTTGGCCTTTAGCCTCAGGTCTCAAAGCACACCCAAGCTGTGGGGCTATCTCATATAATTACACCCTATGCTATGAGCTACTGTTATATATCACCCTTCATCAAAGCTAGGGGGGAGAACATTATACCAGCAACAAAGAAGGATGGATTCAGTTGCCAAGTCTCCTAGTGGTTCAGAGATTTAACCATCATGGTTGCTTTATTTTCAAACAGTGGAGTCTGGGCTGCTTAGACAAGCTGGTTAGAGAGAAAAATCTATCCTGCCACACTCGTGGGTTTGATCTCTGCATGAATCAGTTAAATCAATGTAAGGAAACCTGTTTCAGAACCCTGGACTTTACTTTCAAAGACACAGCCAATCATCCTGCAAATATATGTGGTTATTCACAAGAAGCATATACATAAACATGAGGATAACAGTCCATACAAAGAAACAATTTAGAGTTCATATTTTAAAGCTCAGCAGAGCATGCTGTCTCTAGACGCAGACTGTCTTGGTTCTACTCATTACTAGATCATTTATTGGGTGGGTGACCTTAAAAATAAAATTTCTTTCCCAATAGGACAACTTTTGCTAACCTATATGTTAGAAATTATAAAGGTACTAACTTCATTAAGAGTTTGTGAAATTCCAAAAAAAAATAATCCATATAATGTGCATGATATAGTCTATAACTCACAGTACTTTAAAATAGTCATTAGTTAAATTTCTGAAATTCACATATTTCTTATTTGCAAAAGTGTTCATTGCTATCTGGAATAAATTCATCTTAATTAACACATACTTTATTTCTTCTATGCTAATTAGGTGCTACAAAATCAATAAGTTCAGTTTGATAATTACTATCTATATAAATTTAAGAAATTCATTAAAGTTCTCTTTACTTAGTGACCACTATCATAAGGATTCATAACAGGTCAACTTTACTGGATGGGAAAAATGAAATTATATAGAAGATATAATTCCACTGCAAGATCTTATGGAAAATGGATTCTTACCAACAGCAACAAACTACATATATCTACTTATAAAGAAAACTCAAGGGAAAATGAAAGTATCCAGAAAGCCCATAGAAAACAAAAAGACTTTTAGCATTTTACATTATTAATTTTATTTTTATTGAAAATAACTTGTAATAGAAAAATGTATTATGTAGCTAAAATGTATAATCAAAATGATAGTCCATAAAATGGTTAGGAAGATGAGTCCTTATACAGTTAATAAAGTGTATTTTTAATCTTTATATTCAAATATATCCCATTTATATTAAAGCTATTAATTAACAAAATATTGCAATAAATTATGCTTTGCATACTATGCATTATATTACCTCCTTGTAGGCTCCAAGATCAATATATCCACACACTGGATGAAATGCTCCAGTTCCACACACATAAATGTGAGTCTTGTTGTAGGGTTGAAGAACTCGGATGAAATTTGCACATTCTGTCTATTGGATGTAAAAATTAAAGCATTAGCACAGGGCTCAAATTTTTGAAAGATTATCCTTCGTATCACCTGTTTTTCAAGTAGATAAATCATTAAATATTAAAAAATAAAAATGTTTATTACAAGGTTTAAATGTCTAACTGAACAAAAAAGATAGGGCAAGTGTGGAAATTATGGCTTAATAGAGTGACTCCTTAAAATTATAAAACTTTTGAACTAATCAGAATGTTAGAATGAAAATCTTTATAGTGATATTCAGTGAGACCTGGAGAATGGATATACACAGAATGTGAATGTGACATCCATACTTTCTTTCAAGTACACAGAGAAGAGCATCCATTATGCTCTAGTGTTAACACTCTATCCTACATGGCTCTAATTGCAACACCATCTGTCGCAGCTATACTGAACACAACACTAGACACAGATATGTATTTCATTCATATAGATCAAAATGCCCTATACTTGTTTCCATTTATTTTCAAATGCTACAAAGTCTTTAAAAATTAGATTGTTTTCTATTGATTTCAATGGTCTCTTCTGTTTTTCCCAAGGACATGCTTTAAGACTTGTATATCTCTTCTTGTTTGGAATATGCTTATATATATATATATATATGTATATATATATATATATATATATCAAAAAATATATATAAAATATTTATTTATATCCTCATAATTTTTAGAACTTAAAGTGCCTTGGTGTGAGTCTATTGTAATTCTGTATATTTGGAGTCCTGTAAACCTCCTGGATTTGACTTTCAATTTCATTCTTTAAGTTTGGGAAATTTTTTTATATTATTTCATTGAAAAGATTGTATATTCATTGTGGTTTGCATCTCCAAGCCATTAGAATTTCTATCCCCCATTTACTAATTAATAGTAGTTTTCTATATTTTTCTGGAGTAGTCACTCTTTTTTATGTATTAATTTTCAATATACCTAAACATAGGTGATTTATTTTCTTTACATAAGTTTTGGAAATATTTTCTTAATCATGACTGCATGATTTCTAGTACCAAAGACCCCTGAGGAAAATATTAGGCTATAGCACATTTCTATTCTTGATAATAATTCTACATACAAGGCAGTTGAGTATTTAAGGAAGCTAGAAACCTATGAAACCACTGATTTTTTCTTGAAAAAGTTCAATCTTTCCTGATTAGCCATGGATTCCTCACCAGTGAGGCACTGATATAATGCTCACTCTTGTAAGGAATATTGGGAGGACTACATTAGATAAAAGAAAAAAACCACAAAAACAGACAATGATGTAACTGTTAGAATGGTTCTTAAAATTAAATACGATTTTAAAAAGGCAGAGACAATGACTTAACCAATAGGATTGTTGTGATTGCTAACCGGCATTAAATGAAAAAAATAACATTTAATAATTATGCATTCCTTACTCTGATTTCAACCTAATACAAAACCTAATTCAAAATATTAATATTCCATAATATCCCATGGCTGCTCTGATTTTAGAGTGAATAACTATGTCTGCAAATCTGTGCAACAGAGTTCCTAGTTTCTTCCTTCCTTCACTCAACTAGTCTGCAAATTTATGTCTCAAAATTTTGTAGCTCTTAACAAAATCCACAGGCTCTATCACAAAGAATATTCCATTAAACTCATTGCGTAGTTTTGCTCTCTGCCTCCTTATAAAAAACAAACAAACAAACAAAAAAAAAAACAGTAGTTGCTTAAAACTAAGAAATACAATTACCAGTATTGATCCGTCTGGTAGCCACAAAGATAAAGGATATTTCTTAAATCAGGTACATAGATGGAGCACTTTTTAACTGGAGCAGCACCCTGCATACTGTTGCTCTGTTGCACACTGCACTGAAAAAGGCCATCATATTTTGCTCAGGCATGCTCACTGACAGGACTTTTATTTCTTGGTCTTTCCTCCCTTAATAGATGCACACAAGGGTAAAATCTACCCAAAGAATAGTAAATACACAAAAAGGGAAAGAATAAAAATGTATGGCTAAAGGGAGATGTGATGGATGCACTGAGAGCTATTTCATCATTTTTACAGAAGTTTAGCTTTACCCAAACAGTCATTAGATAATAATTTTGGAAACTTATGAAAGAAATACTTGTATAAAGAAATAAAACAACTCTCTTTCCGGATTATAAATAATGAAATCAGAAAAGTTAGGGACTATGAGAAGCCTTACTGTTAAAAAGGGAAACAAGGCCCGGCATGAAGTTGTATACACATAGGAAATGTTTTAGTGACTATAAAACAAAAAGAACAAATCACACCTAAAACATTTCTCAACCTTTAATGTTTCTAGGACTATTTATTAAAATGCAACCAGCCCTGGAAAGTAACTTAGCTTGCCAGTTCCCACACAAGGTGAGAGATCCCCTAGGATTAGTGTTTGGAATCCCTTCCCTCTCTCTGATTGGACTGAAGTGGAATAGAATATAGTGTGGGTGAGTCTTGAATTATATGACACATTTTATAAAAAAAAGAAAGCCTGTTCAAAGGGTTTTTTTTTTTTTTTTTTCCAGGGAAGTTGACAGAAGGCAGTTCCCTAACTGGCCAGGAGGCAGTGGAAGGCATTGGTTGCCTGAGGAAAAGAAACCTATGATTACGGATCATGAAAGATAAAGTCTCTGAGTTCTAACAGCCTGGAGCATGACATTTTAGCCAAACAACCTTGCCAAATGCAATTACTTTACAGTGACTTCCCTTTTAATTCATGACTTCATTTTTTTTTTTTAGACTCAAAGATTACATACCCTTTTTTCGAGCATGCATAACTTTAGAAGTTTTGCTTAAATAGACTAATCAATAATTAACTTTATTTAATTCATTTAGCAACTTGCATGACTATTAATGGTAAGGTAATTCTCTGAGGCATGAAGAAAGATAACTTTTGAGAATCAGCTTTTATAACTTTCCCTGAAAGCTGGCTAATTTGTTAGCTATTGCCCACAATCCTTGCATGTTACCAAACAATCTAGAAAGTAATATATTCAGCTTTGGAAAAGTATTAAACTTGTATCTTTCCTATTCTTCCTACCTATTCTCTCCTTTCTACTCATACCACCCCATTTGTTGAAGAGGAGAGATAGATAGATAGAGAGAGAGAGAGAGAGAGAGAGAGAGAGAGAAAGAGAGAGGATCAAAACCATGCATTAATATTTAAATTCTCTGAAGTAACATTGCATGTTTTAATGTTGCATTTTTATTTAATATGTTGTATGCATTTTTATATGTAAAATTAATAAAATTAATATAAAGTTAAATTAATATTTGCAGAAACAAGTGGTCAATGCATGAACATTTGCAATTTTAGTTTCTCCTCAGTTATCAAAAAGATATTAGCAAACAGAAGTACCTGCAATTCTCGAGACTTACAGGGAGACTAGTTAAATCCAATATAGGTTTATGTGGTTAAAAATAAAAAGAATCTCTCTCTTTTTATATGTGTATGTATGCACTCACATATATAATATATATGTAAAATATAAATGTTTTAAATATATATAATATAATATAAATTGGGCTGGGGATGTGGCTCAAGCAGTAGCGAGCCCACCTGGCATGCGTGCGGCCCGGGTTCAATCCTCAGCACCACGTACAAATAAAGATGTTGTGTCCACCAAAAATTTAAAAAATAAATATTAAAAATTTTCTCTCTATCTCTCTCTCTTTAAAAAATATATAATATAAATGTAAAATATATATATATATATATATATATATATATATATATATATATATATATATTTCGTAGTGTTAGGGCATAATGCATACTAGGCAATCACTTTACTATTGAGTTACATGACCAAAATCTCTTAAGATATGTTTTTATTTTTAACATTTTTGTAGAATATTGTGATCTTGAACCTTGTTGGATCATTAATTGGATGCTATTCTCGGACATGATCCTGTATGCAGAGATAGGTGGTTAGTTCTCAGAATGTTTAAATATTTTAATAAATTGTCAGCATTTTAAAATAACTATATAAAAGTTCAAATATCACAATTTCTTTCTTAAAAATGGAAGATGTAACAGTGAACATTTTTACAGAGGAATAATTGGTCATTTCTTAAAAAGCAAAGGAAAATATTTAAAAGAAAAAGACTTTTTAAATATTGAAAGTCTAGTCCTCATAAAAGAAAACTGCTAAATAATATTTTTCCATGAGTGGAAAACCTATTAGTTATATGCTTTATTACACACACTCATACACATACACACACACAAACACACATACACTAGCATATACGTGTATGTGTATATATATATATATATATATATATATATTTTAAATCTAAATAATCAGTAAGGAAAAGTAAACATAAGGGATATGATATTTAAAATACTTTTTCTAATTATATAAAATAATTAGTATTTGTAGTATAAAAGGATTTCATAAACTTTCTGGAGGGAAATTTAGCAATATGTGTGTAAAAATTTTATGTCTTTAACTAATAAAAGTCCACTTGATTATCAAAGATCTTCCCAGTGTTTATACTTAAGGATTTTCATATGCAGTATCATTTGCAATAATAAAAACTGGATATGCACCAGAATTCTAACAATAGGGGATTGATGAAATAGTGCATAATGGAATGCAGTGTAGCTATTAAAAGTGGTGTTATAAAAAGGAATTTAACGACATGGGAAAATGCTCATGGCAGTCTGCAAAGTGGAAAAAAAATGTTTTCAGGGACTATGTATACAATGATTTCATTCTGCAAAACAGTAAATAGATAAGATAGAAGAATAAATACCAACATGTCACCAGCTATCTCTGGGTAGTGTTTATGGGGGAGAAAGTATTTACAAGTGACTTTTCCCTCCCTTTGTATATAATTTGCAAGCTTTCTAAAATAAATATTGTGTTTTGTTTTCAGATTTTCTGAAAAACTAAAACAAAAAAATGAAATATAACCACAGAACATTACAGCTGGCAGGTCACCCATCTCTGTAACATCTCTCCACAGCTAGCCTGTGCACTTCTCTGAAGCTGAGCTGACAAGCAGAGCCAGGCTCTCCTAGATCTGTCCTTTCTTTTGCCTGGACTGAGTTGTTTAACCCAAGCCGTACAGTCAGGACTAAAGACATTTCTTCATTGATTTCTTTTGAACAACCTTCTTCTAAATAGAAGCAAAATTCTGCCAAATATTTTTCAGTTTCTCCTTCTTCTCCCTGGATTCAACTGTGGGACCATGTTAAAGAATGTGGAATAGTTCCCTTTTGTTTTTTTCATCTTCCACTGCCTCCCCATCCCAATTAGCTAAATTTCATTATAGTAAATAATTCACTATTTAGCAGTTATATAGTACCTTTGTGTTAAGGGACAGTCTTTCCAAACACTTGTTAATCCTAAACGCACTCTTGGGAAGTAGGTAAAAATTACTAGAGAGGAGGAAGGACAGAGGGTAGTGCCAACAGTAATAAAAGATGTCCATAAAACCACAGCCTTGTCTCAGTTTTCTGTTGGTCAACATCTGTGTAATACTGTTCGAAATCAGGACCTGTATCATGGTGATATTAGAGAGAGAAATGATTTGAGAGAGAGAGGTTTCAGATCCTGTATGTAGATTTATAGTGTAAAGTAGGAGCATAGCCTGTGCAGCCAGACTTCTGGATTCAATTCCTGGCTCTACATTTACCAGCTGTGTGATATTGGGCAAGTGATTTCATTTCCCTGGCTTTAGTTTTCTCATCTGGAGAAAATGGAATAATAATAAAGCATAGCATATAGTGTGGTTTTAAGGATTAAATGAGATTAGAAGCATAAGGTACTGAAAGCAGTACTTTGAATATGGTAAGTGCTGTGAGAGTGTTAGCCATTATCAGGAACTCTAAAATAGAATGACAAATTAAAAATGAAGAGATAAAGACTTGTTTCTTCATGAATCAACATCAGATTTTAAAGGATTTGTGAAAAGAGGAATGCTTCCCAGATTTCTAATCCTGTTTTAGCAGAAGTGCTTAAAGGTAAGGGTAAGCACTAGCTCACAAACAGAACTGAATTGGATGAATTCATTCAGTGTACTGAGTCATACATACTCAAGGAAAGCTCATCACTCTCTGCTTTAACTTAATAAGAGGGACCATGCAGTTACTATGTAACTGGACCTAGTGTGCATGTTGAAATGAGAACACTGTCACAGTTTAAAACTTTACTTGTTGTTTGACCTTGGGTGTTTGTTCCTCATCTAACTGAAGGGAAAATACACATTAGTTTATTGGGGAAAATTGAAAACATCCCTTTCCTTCTTGCGTTTTTATCAAATACTCAATATTGGTGAAACACAAGTTATAAAACTGTTCACAATGGTTACACCATGCTTCTACTATTCATTCCACAAATAATTTTGAAAACTCTCATAACCAAAGCATTCTTTCCTTCATAAATTCAATAAAGAAATGATGCTTTTATAGAACCAGCACTTGCTATGTAATGAGAGTGAACAATGTCTCTGCATTGAAGTCATGGGATAAAGAAGAATATAGTCTTGAAATGTTTAATTCCTTTCTTTTCTGGTAAAAATGAAAGTAAAACTGTCTCCCATTGCATTTGAGGCTAACAATACCTGATATATTTCTGTTTACATTAATGTGCCTGAATAGATCATATTTCATATCATGTTAATACAAAATCAAGTAGAAGCATAAGTTTTGTTTTGGTTTGATCACTCTGTTTTCTAGTACTGTTTCTATGTATGAATGTATAGACATTTGAGTGCTATCTGTATCCTCCAGTAGAAAGACTCTTGAGGATAGCTATCTTATCAATTTCATATATATACATATATAGATGATATAGAGTTGTACATACATTCAGGCTCCTTAAAATTGTTTGTTGACTAAACAAATGAGCAAATGGTGAACCAGCTTGTTGTCTGACAATCATAATTTTCCGAGCATCTCCTCAATTCACAAGACATCATATACCCTATTGTTGTACGTCTATCACATTGATAATTTTTAAATCTAATTTTGCTTTCATATAACAAACAATTTGTTTTTTATTAAATATGAAAGCCAAGCTCCACTTGAGATCCTTGTGTTATTGTGGTTAAGGTAACATTAAAGGATGTTGCAGAAGAAACTTCAAGATGTCCATGTTTCTGTCCAACATTGGAACCTCTTCCCATCTTGAGTTACAGTCAGGTTGTGATCAATTTTACCTAAAAAGAATAATTCTCCTCATCCACACAGTGTAAGAAGTCAAAGCAAAACACAGAGCATCTGGCATGAACTAGAGCATGAAGATGAGGAGAGGAGTCAATCAATGTGGAGGTAAAACAGGTAACTCAGTGTGGGAGCGCACAGGACAACTGCCCAGTGTAAAGCAAGCTAGGCAGGACTGCACTGACAATGAACAGGGTGACTCCTGAACAGGGTTTTGTTCTTGTTCTTAGGGTGGTTTAAGCTAGAAGTTTATATTAAGAACATCTAATTATCTTTTATGAGTTATTCCATGTAATAATTATTAAGTAAATTTTAGAGTACGTTACTTCTAGTTCTTATGCCAGAATCCTGTGTCATTCATTCTCAACTCATTTTTCTACCACCAATTTTGCTTGTTATCTCTGTCACAATACAAATATCTTCTATATGCTGTAAATTTAATTTCAGTTCAAATAAAATTAATCAATTGTATATTCATGATACTAAAATGTCTGATACTTGTATGTTTACAAAATACATGTACATACATTTTTAAAAAAATACATTCCTTGAAATACAATGTTTGCTGATAATTTGTTTTTGAATATTTTAATAGCTTCTAATATTTTTGTGATAAAAATAATAATATTGAGGATACATTAGAAAGTATAGCATTTCTAAATTTCTGTATTTTTAAAATTGTTTTTTAAGTTGTAGATGAGCACAATACCTTTTTTTTAATTATTTGTTTTTATGTGGTGCTGAGGATTGAACCCAGTGCCTCATGCCTGCTAGGCAAGCGCTTTACTGCTGAGTCACAAACCCCTAAATTTCTGGATTTTTATAAACAGCATCAGTGCTTTTGGTAAGGTAGAAATATTTTACATTACATCAATCTTTATAGAGAATATTAGTTTATTATCTTAAAAATAATACACTTAGCCAGGTGTGGTAGTGAACAGCTGTAACCCAGCAGCTCAAAAGGCTGAAGCAGGAGGATCTCAAGTTCAAAGCCAGCCTCAGCAACTTTGCAAGGTTCTAAGCAACTTAGCAAACCTTGTCTCGAAAACAACAACAACAACAACAAAGAAACATAAAAAGTGCTGGGGATGTGGCTCAGTGGTAAAGCTTCCCTGGATTCAATCCCTGGTACAAAAGAAAAAAGAAAAAACAAAGACACTTAATTGAATATGGTGGCCCAAACCTGTAATACCAGGAACTCTGTAGGTTGAGGCAGCAAGATTCCAAGTTGAAGGCAAGCCTCAGCAATTTAGCAAGGCCCAAAGTAACTTAGTGGGACCCTTTCTTAAAAAAAAAAAAAAAAAAAAAAAGGACGGGGGAAGTAGCCCAGTGGTAGAATGTTACTGGGTTAAATTTCTAGTATGTAAATAAATGAATAATACACTTATGTCATTATTTCAATAAAAGTGAGTGTAAATATTTACTATCAGTACTAGTTTAACAAAGATAATTATAAAATTTCATACTTACATTGGCATCCTTCCCAGCTAATTTACATAATTCCACTCTCTCCTTTGTGGCTGGCCAATAAATCTGTAAAACATTTCAAGGTGTGTCAGAATCTGAATAACTACAGCACTCTATCCTATAATTTTGATTAAAGAAGTAAATGTGTGATACTAAAGAATGGATATTAATCATGCTAACAGAGTCAATGTGAGAATTTTGAAATTTAAGTATTTTTCAAAGCCCCCTCAAAAATGTTATTAAAAGAGAATTATGTAAAACAATCAATTTTTTTAAGAGAGAGAGAGAATTTTTTAATATTTATTTATTTATTTTAGTTTTCAGTGGACACAACATCTTTTTATTTTATTTTTATGTGATGCTGAGGATCGAACCCAGCCCCGTGCATGCCAGGCGAGCATGTTACCACTTGAGCCACATCCCCAGCCCCCATTTTTTTTTATTTATCAATCTTCTTGTTTCTCTTTTAATGTATACAATAATAGATAAATTATGCTCAAGAGGAAAAAGTTCTCATAATAATGTCAACAGAGTTTCACACTGGAATTATAGGCTTTGTTTACCCCGTCTCTGTGTTTACTATGAATGATGGTGCATTATGAACATATGTGATGAGGTGTTGGAAATAGCTCTGTCACACGCATAAGTTATCACTCCAAACCAAGGACAAGTGTGAATTTGTTGACAGTATTTAATAAGCATGGGGCTCAGACACATCTGTCACTAAACTAAATATTTTAAAAGTATTATCTTATTTAAATTTCAAAATGACCTTATGAAATATTTATACTTATTCTCCTCAATTTTAAATCAGAAACTTGGTCACCCAGCCACTAAAAAACATGTCAAAGGACAGAAAACTATTTTGTGATATAGCCATAATCCAACATGTATTCTGTCTATCTTCTGAACTGGGAGTCTCAGTCCTTACAAAATGTTATTTGGGCAAATGATTAAGGTCAAAGGCACCAACCATCTTGGTTGGTAGATTTTAATTATGCTTAACAGTCTTGAATTATCAAAAAGAGCTTTTATCCTTCATTTTTAAAAAGAAAAGTTTAGAAATTTTTCAGTCAGGTTCAAAGAGTGATTTAGCCTGTAGAAAGAAAAGTTCTGAAAGCTATAGGCAAGAAGAAACAAGAAAATCAAGTTCTGAGTTGCTTATAATGTACACGCCACAAGTTCCTGACAGACTTTTATTATGTTTTTCACCAAAGTTAACAGAAAATGTTTTAATGGATGAAGAAAAAAACAAAACAAAACACCTCTGTCAATACATTGAAAGAGACTTATTAAACCTAAAATTAACAAAGGATTTAGGAATCACCAATGTTTGCATAATATTGTCTTTATAATAAAAATTTGGGCTTTTATGCCTGAGGAAGGAAGAGGAAATAGCATCCCAAAATGTAATAATAGACAAATAAAATCAAATTAATAAGATTTTTAAATGAATGATGAATTAATATTAGAAGCAGATTATTTAGCAGAATATAGCTTTATATCACTGGACAGAAAATCATTTACATAACTCATATCTGTGATCTGTCAATTGGTTTAATCCTTGACTTATTTCATTTGATTTCTAGTCTAGATTAATATATCTCTGAGTCATTTAAACATGGTCAGATTCAATCATATTTCAGAAATAAATTTAGGATATGTATACACATATATATCCTAAATTTACATACACATATTTACATAAATTTATATATAGGTTATATACATATAAAAACATATGTATTTGTTCAGGGCTACAGATCTTATTGTTATTAATACTATAGAATAAAGGAAATTACAGAACTCTTTTTCACCAGGTAAATGGGTCTTAAAAAGCATAAAGATCATCACAGTGTTCTATTTTTACTTCAAATAAGCATACTGGGTGATTGAGTTAAAGTGAATTATGAAATAAATACTGTCTCCAAAACTGAGTTTGAAAACATTCATTGCTGTCTCTAAATGGAAGAAGTTAAGGACAAAGCGTGGAGGCAATCTTGACGTCTTTTATGGGATCTAAATTGTTTGAAAGTTAACATGGAATAGTTACTGTTCATTAGATACGTAGTTATGATTGTGTGTGTAATGTGTCTAATGTGTGTAATGGCACAAGGATTCTAAGATACTGGTACAAAGAAAATTTTTCTAATTAAAGAATTGCCACCATGCCAGGCAAAGCGTGGGATTGAAGCACTTAGATGTGAGTCAGGAAAACAGTTCAATAAACAGCAGCTCCATTTCCATGGGAGCTGGAGGGAGGGAAGAGAGCACACAGGGAGCAGCCATTGCCAGGGAGCACTCAGGAACACTCAGTGGTAAACAGTCCTTCTCAGTCCCCACTTTCGCATCATTGTTCACATTACTGGCTTTTAATAGTTTCAACTCTAGTGTGATAGTTTAGTTTAGTTTAATAGTTTCAACCCTAGTTTGTCTTAGAGATTTGACACTAAAATACCAATTGCACATTTTTTCTTCTTTCTAAAGAAACACAAATCTCTAAAAGAAGTTTTAATGTTTCTGTTGTACATTTTGCTGAGTTATATCATCCTAGTTGGTGGAGCAATAAACTAATTACAAGCTTCAGAGAATTTGCTTTTTGATAAGTACATAAATGTTAAACAGAGATGTGTAAGCACTGACAATTTGTGGGACTCCAGAACTCATTTTTTTCTAGATCTTCTAATCTCTGTTTATATAATAGATTTTCTCCAAAATGTTCTTTTATTTTTCGTCATTCACTTTCAATGCTATAATATCTAGAACCCTGATATAAATGTAAACCGTCCTTGAACATATGTGTAATGGCACAAGGATTCTAAGATACTGGTACAAAGAAAATTTTTCTAATTAAAGAATTACTGAAGTCTTCAAAATGAAGATTGAGAGTGCATATTGGCTTATTTTAATATAATACCATTAAGAACTTAGAAATCATAAGCAGAATCAACTTAAATAATAACCACCTACAGATAAACATATATGTATGATATTTTTCAGACTCTAAACACTTAACTGAGAAAGAAGAAAAAAATACCATGGTAGTTGTGCCAATGATTAAGAGATATTATTTTAATTATGAATATGGTGGGATTTTCTTTTACTGTTACCTAGTCATTAGAATAAAGGTTTTGCAAAAATATTTCTTTTGATTCTTAATTAGTAAAAGACTTTAAAGATACAGAATAATCCTAGATTCAATCTAAATACAAACCAAAGGGAAAAAAAAAGGTACTTACATAGGTAGTTATATAGAGTTGGCAAAAATATGTTCAGGTCACAGTTTTGTGTTTCAATAATTTTTGAACAGACATCTAATGTGCTATACACACAAACACACATGAAAGAGCATTCCATTACCCACATTTTCTATTCTAATTGTGTATGCTCTTGCATTTTAGTGCCTTAAAAACACATCTCAACATATTAAAAGTTGCATTAAGCAAAATAAAACACAGCATATATGCCATATCATCTCAAAGATGATGGCTCCCTAGAAATTCATTCACTGATATTTTTTTCTGTCACGTAACAAAGAGCCATACCAGAAGCAGTCACTTGTGTAATTGTCCTATTTTAATTGTCCTGAAACATTCTCATGAAATATTAGTTCTTAACTAACCTTGTATGAAGTACCCTACAAAATTTAAAGCTGTCATTTTAGTGGGCTGTGATCTTTAAGACCTTACATCTTTTCTATTAAGGATTGCTAATATGTAGAAAGCACATTATTGCTCTCTCCATCCACAAGCAGGGCAGAAAAATCAAACAGAGATCTTTTCTGTGGAGTTTGGGGAGCCCAAGAATCACTTCCAGCTTAATTATCCAGAGTGTAACTACTAATTAAACCAATGTTAAACAATTAGAATTGTGCAAGTTGGTTTTAATCTGAATGGTAATTCTTATAGATACATTTGACAACAGAAAACTAGGAAACAGAACAGAATTTTATAAAGTTCTCCATATTTAGAAGTAATAATTTACAGTTAACATTGTAAAAAAAGTGTAACCATCACCCATATTTTATAATTTATGAACAACCATTTTAGTATGTTTATGCAAGCCTTTATATTTTTCACAATTGATAATTTTCAAAGAATTTTTTCAGGATACACTAGAAGGCACAAATATTAACATGCAAAAATATAAGAGTGTGTGTATATGTGTGTGTATTAGAAAGTTCTAAAAGAATATACATACATATTTTTCATGTGTATACATATTTTTTATTTTAGAATTATAGAACATAGATTAATAATATGGAAAAAGATCATTCTAATGAAAGGAAAAAATTTTAGTGCCTTCTTAGATCTATTTGCTTATGTTCAAAATGTTATATTTTAAACATTTTGTATATCATAAAGTTATATTTTAAACCCATTAAAAAAGATTTATAATAATTTTTCTGCATGGATTTAAAATATAATCTGTGAACTAGTTTTAATTTTACTTGCTTACCTTTATCCAAATCCAAAGCAATATTATTTTGTTTGTATTTTGAAGCATTTTTATTTTAATTTTGGGGAAAAATATGAGGAACTTACAAATAAAATACTGCAATGACCCTAAAAATTGTTGTTTCATTCACAATTTATATTATTCATTAACTGTTTTTATTCACAATTTATGTAATTCATTAACAGTTACCATTTAGTAAGTAAAAGTGTCACACAATTTATTTTAATCATTTACTGTTAGGCAAGTCACAGAAACATTCAAATAATGATAAGACTTTATAACAACATCAAAAGAAAATTCTAATTACATCTACTCTTTGTTTTATCTTTGGAAAAGCAATTTAACAGACTCAAGTTAGCAAGTGCAAGGACAATCAAATGTCATTTGGCCTAATTCAGAGATGCCACAACAACTGAATAGAACACCCAAGAGGAAGTTGCAACTTATTCATAAAACCTAATTAAAGACAACAATTCAGAACTCCAGAAACAGGGCCATCTCTATCAAAGAACAGAATACAACTGTTTGCACAATTATAAAGAATTTGGGAAAATGTTGCTCTAAATGCTACATGATCAAGGTTTTGAATTACTAATGTAGCAATGACTAA